TTTTTTTTTGTGTCTGTTACCACTTTTTCTCAGCTCTCACCGAACCGATTTCTTTCAATGATACGTCAAAAGATCACAAATCGTATCTAGTCGAAGACATTACCCTCATAAATTGAAAAATATTCCCTCATTCCCCGTAAATGGGTGAAACCTCCAAAAAAATTACAAATTTAAAAATCGCTAATTTTCGAAATTTTTTCAATTTTTGTTACTTTAAAGTGCCATAACTTTTTGAAAGATGTATGGATCAATATAATTATTTTTTTTGTAGATGCATGATGTCTTTTCCTATCATTTGGTATATTTTTTTTATAAATCTGACTTTTTACTTCCCTACAGGGGGGGATTCAAAATGAAATTAAAGTAAAGCTAATGTAATGTTCTTTATTATGTAAAAAAAAAATTTCGGACTTTATTTTGTCTTCACGGTGAAAATGTCTACCGAATGCTATTATTGTGTGAAAATTCTCGATTTTATTTTTTACATTTTTAACTTTATAATGCTATTACATATTGAAAAGTGTATGGATCAACATTATTTTATTATGAGAAATAATATTTTTTAATAATCCCTTTTTCAATCGACATACTTTATCTTAATCAGGATATTAATAAGGAACTAGCAGTTTATGAAGCTTTTGGAATAATCCACCAATTTTTTAAAATTAAACACTATCTCAAGATTTGGATCGAAGCTTTTTTTTTTTATAGTGATTTTAATCACTGTCAGATATCATTATACTTGATCCAACTATGCCACGTCACCACTGTGCCGNTCATCGGAGAGTGTGCTTAAAAAAATTTTTCCTTATTCATTTCATATAAATTATGTATGTTATTATATCCTAGGTAGGGTGAAATATAAATACGATTCTGATATACACTAACTAAAAATGTTCTTACATACTAAAAGGATTATAAAAAATTATTTCTACATATTTATAATATGTTAAATAAACTGTTATTCTATATATTAATTCATTGAATTCTTCATTCAAAATATGTAGTAATTTATTTTAAAATATTATTTCAATATTAAATATTAATCACTACCAATATTAGATATGAACTATATGTATATAAGTACAAGGCACCGTTTCAGTGGAAGTTCGATGGGCTATGATATATTTAAGAGTTGAAAAAATATATTTTTTGCTTATAAGTTGAATAAAAG